ACTGTTTTGATTCAAACAACACATCAGGAAACTCTTCATCAGAGACTTCCAATCCCATAGGTGCTACTACTACTACTGCTACTACTGATTTCGAGCCAAGGGTTTTCTCCTGCAATTATTGCCAGAGAAAATTTTACAGTTCACAAGCGCTCGGAGGGCACCAAAATGCTCATAAGAGAGAAAGAACACTTGCCAAAAAAGGGAACAAGAGTAATTGTACTGCAGCAGCAGAAGATGCCTTGATGAGGCTTCCAAGTTTACTCTCTTCACACAGATTCTCCAGCATGGCTTCTCTCCCTTTGCATGGCTCCTTCAATAATAGGTCACTTGGTATTCAAGTGCATTCCACAATTCACAAGCCTTGTTACCAATCAAACACCTTTGGTGGGAATAATAATGGTAACTATGGGTGGTTTAGACGGCCTATTGATCATCAACATGCGATCGGGCGGCTTGTTCCACCCAACAATGTTTTTCATGTGCAGGGCGGCGTAAGTTCCTCCTCCTCACCATCGAGTGGTGGCGTTGGAAGGTTTTCCTATAGTACTAATGGTCGGAAGTTTTGTCCGGCGGCGGAAGGAATTGGAGGGTTGTGGTGGAGTAATAGTGCTGCTGGCCATTTTAATGCTAAACAAGATGAGTTGCAGAAGCTTGACTTGTCCCTAAAGCTCTAAACACTTTCTCAATTTATCATTTTCTCTTCTTTATTTTTAAATTTCTTTTTTAAATTTAAAGCCATCCCTTTTAACTGATCAGTTTCAGGCTTCCTCGCCCTTTGAGTTTCATGTATATGTTGCAACTTTCGTACACATTTCTTTTAGGTATAGTTGACATTTTCAGAGAAGTTCTGAAATTCTTGGCTTTGAATATCCCAATTCCATATGTTTTTGTTTTTTTTTTTTTCTTTAATTCAAGATCGTCACGACTTTCTTCCACAAAATAAAGACTGAATGCAACTAGAGAACCTGGAAATTTGAGTTAGAATGGTGATGTGTACCAATAACTCAAAGACTAACCTTGCTACTTAATTTGGGAATTTAATTTCCCCATTTAACGCCAGAAAATTGCTTTTCTTTTAATTGGGTTCTCAGTACTTCATTTTATCCGTTAAGGAATTTTACTCGTTCAGTTTTCTCTTTTAGTTTTAAAGAGAAGTGCTAAATGCAGGACTTGAAAAGGATTAACTGCAAATTAATGCTCCTAAAATTCCTATTGTTATACAAAAAAAAAAAAATTTGGGACTTCGGTACGGGTATATGATTTTTTTTTGTTTTTTTTTTTTTTTTTTTGATGTTTTCTTCTCTAATATTGGCACCTGTGAAGAAAAAATAGAACACAAAACTAGCATGTTAGACAAATACTTATAATCATTAGAGCTACATTCTAATATTATATAAACTATAATATATATAACGAAACTTGAGTACACAAGTGTCCTCCTCTAATCAATCTACTTAATACTTGTAAATAATATTTTATTGCAGTAGTAAAAATCATGCCTATGCACTATTTAATCCACTAACACTATCGTTCGTAAAAAATAAAATAAAATTAAACAAGCGTTTGCATAAATTTTACATCTGTTTAAAGAGAAGTGCTAAATGCAGGAATTGAAAAGGGAGTGAGTGCAAATTAATGCTCCAAAAATTCTGTGGTTATAGAACATTTGGAACTTTGCGGCGGCACATGCATTTTTTTTTTTTTTTGTATTTAATCGTTAAATAATGAATTAAGTAAAGGAATATACTGTAGCTAGTACTTTTTTTATATTTTCTTCTCTACTGTTGGCATCTAGTAAGAAACAATAGAACACAAAAGTAGTATGTTAGACAAATACTCCTAAGCACTAGAGCTATATTCTAATGCAATATAAACTATAATGCAACAAAACTTGAGTACGTGAGTGTACTCTAATGAACTTATCTACTCTCAAATCTATTTAATACTTGAAGATGTCGCTTTAACGCAATGATAAGAAAGTAACTATGCTTATGTATTATGGTGCGGGTTAGTTTTTTCTCTCTTAACAACTAACTATTTAACACACTAGCTCTATCTTTTGTTATAAAAAGTATACTTAGTATTTGATTTTTTTTGATGTTATGTCATATGTATTAGTATTTGATTTTTTGATGTTATGTCATATGTCTATCTTAAACTATTGTCCGTAAGGTCCACAAAACGTGCAACATTTTGCAATCTTATGATTGTCATTTCCTCTACTATTAATTTGACATGATGGTTTAAATGACATGGACTTTGACCCACCTGCAGTTGAAGTAATAGACAATCTCTATTGCCATTGCTATTGGGATCAAAGGGTTAGGTGTAGTGTAACAAGCCATGTGAAAGACACACAATAATGATTAATCACCCCATCTAATAGCTACCCTTCCTACCCCCATCAATTTTTTTTTCCTCAATATTAAATGTTTGAAAAATCTTCTACTTAGTATTACGGTATAATAGTGAAATGTCTTAGATTCGATTATCACCAAAGATAAAGTTGAACCACATTATTATAACAAACCATTGTAAGGTTTAGTCTACTCCCCTACCTTGTTAATGTAAATACTATCATTTGTTAAAAAAAGAAAAAAAAAAAAAAAAATATATATATATATATATATATATATATTGTCGGTAAATGTTGATTGCCTTGATTTCTTAGCTACAATTTCTCTTCCATAATTAGGCCCCTTCTAATTTGTGGGTCCAGATCTATTTGATGTTTACTATATCATATTAGTCATAATACACCATGATTATCCTAGAATTAACATGTAATAGTAATTGAAATTTGTTCACTGTGACAGTTAACTGTCATTGAAATCTCTGATTAACAAAGGGTTTTGATAGGAAGACAAGATGTCACATAGCTTTCGAAAATGAAATGTAAAGTTGGCTATGCTAGGTCTCTTCTCTCATTATGCTCTCACCACATATTGCAGTTTAATGTTCAAAACTATCTATCTTTCAGGTAAATCCATTAAAGATCATGTCTATATGAGAAATCAACCAAATCAATTGTAAAATAAGACAAATTTAGTGTGGATGAACTTCTGCAATAATTGATTCTCGACAGATTTTACCTACATAATCAACATATTTGATCATCCTACGACATAAATGATGTGAACGGTGAAGGAAGAAGGTGGAAGGAGAATGCACAAAACGAATCAATCACAACACATACTTTTTTTTCTCCGATACGATCTTTTTTATTTCTTGTCATCAGATTAAATATTTCAAACAGAATTCACGAATAAGATTAAACAGAAGTGTGTACAAAACGAAAAAGGGTGTTTTGGTCATCATGGGATACAAATGAAAGCATAAGTTTGGGTTTCTGCCATTTGCTGCAAATCAGTTGGGGTGTCCATATAGTTGTGTTAAAATGCCTCATTCTTCAATCATTTGGGCATTAAAATATTGAAAAGCTTTCATTTTGCCTCCAAATTAAGAAACACTTAACAAGAACAAAGTTGGAAAAAGAGAATGCATGTGAATGTGGAGCTTTCATGTTGCTGAGGTTAGGTGAAAAAATTAAACCAAAAAATAAGTCTTTCTCCATTAGGATCTTATCATAATTAAGGAAGAGATTACTTGTCGTTATAAGATTTGAATATTATTGGTTTAAAACTTGATTAGTAGGGGTATAAGTCAAGTTTGTCCTATTCAATGAAAAGAGAGAGGGATAATACAAAACCATCATCGATCTCAGTTTAAGAATCATATATGCGCATATTTCTCTTTCTATCGCTTTCTTGAAATTATTGAAAATTGTGCTCTCACTACAATTTGTGTACAAAATAATTCTCCAACAAATCAAATTTGGATTTGCATCTCATCGGAATTCTTTTTGTGAAAATCTTAAGGTTTCTCACATTTTATTTGTTCATCGTACATCATACAGCTAGAAATTATTTTAAATTTTTTTATTTAAAATTAAACACACAGAGTATCTAGCAAAAGCTGACCCTACGATGTATGGTGATTCCCACAAAGAGGATCCTGAGAGGATCCTCAACCATAAAATTTGTAAATTAAATCTTTCTCCATTAGGATTAAACTGCTGCTATGCAGGCTGTACAGAACCATGAAAAGTAAATACTCTGTTGTAGAATCACCATCACAAGGTCAAGCAAAAGTTGGTGCAAATTTGAAAATATAATTACCTCTGATTTCAATTATTTTTTATAAAAGCGATATTCTACATTAAATTAGTCTGAACTACAGGGTGGGAAATTCGAACTCAAGTGCAGTAGGATGAGCACATTCCTCTAACCAGCTTGGCTAAGCCTAGGCCTGTAATTACCTATGATTTCAAAGTCTACATGGTAAACTTAAAAAGAGATAATCATATGAACCATTTGTCTCCACAATTTAGTTTTTGAATCGATTGTTTTTCTCAACAATGTTTACAATCTTCCAAATGACAGAGTTTCTACACAAAAACCACTTCAAACAACTAAAAGTTGAATAACCAGTCTCTGAAAATCAAACTTCAAAATGATGTTTGAAATTAAGATCAACAAATCGACAGACGAAACTAGCAAGGGACATCGAAATTTAAGAGACTAGTACGACACTCTAGTGGACCACGGCACTACAATCCTCATTTCCTACGGTGCTCGTGCCTTGAAGTGTCGTAATCAGTAGCATCTTCATTCTGGTTAAGAACATAAGACTACTATTCGGAAGATGGAACGAATCCAATGGAACGAATTATAGTTCAAGCTAATTCAGGAGTTAGAGGTGAGAAAGTATGATGTAGACCAGAAAAGATACCCAAAATAACATGACATCAGATTTTGAACTGATGTTGCTCAAAACTAAAGAGGATAGGACTTTCATCTTATCCAGAGTTTGACCAATGCACACCATTGGTATGTCTGTCTAGCAATGGTGAAGCATATTGTAGTGGACTGTGAAGTTCACTAAGAGTACTTACTACTATAGAGCATCTTTCATAAAGCCAGGACCACAAGTTCGAGATATTAACGTACGAAGACATCCATAATTTCAACTTGATTGCAATTCAGTTCATACTTTGAATCTAAAAACAAACATTACTCTATGAACTTCAGTTCCGATATCAATTATGCAGAAAAGAAGAATATATGGTTAAGACTAAAAAGAGAAGGGAAATGACGCAGACGTTACATTGATACTTGTTGAGATGACTGGAAAGAGTGGATGCAGACGTTCTGTGAGAATGGAATTCTGGCCACAACATCAGCAAGCAGCATGATCCAGGAGCATAATCCATCTACACGCCACCAATATTCTTGAATATGACTGCGACGTGCAACAGCTCGTTTCCACTTTCCAAGATCGTATCTTATCTCAAACTGAATGTTCAAATTTTATGGAGCTACAACAAAATTGAATAATTGTTTTTACATGTAGCAGAAGCACATTTGCAACATGAAATTAGTGTCTAAGAAAAGAAAAGATGGCAAAAGCTAGTAAGAAAGAAGCTAGAGCAAAAGTCATGTAATGTGTTAAGTGATCGAGTGGATGAATATAATGACAAAACCAGACAGAAAGTAACATGAGAGTAAATGCAAACTTTCCGCTTAATTTAAAGAAATTATATTTCAATCAAAGAAATAGCAAAATCTGTCATGGTACGAGCACAATACACTTTTTGCTACTAAATTCTAACTAATAAAGATGGTTCTTTTGCTCCAGAAATCTCATCATCAAAGAACCAGCATAATTCTTAGCCATATGGTATGTGTATACTTTATCCTGTTAGTTTCAATGCATAATCAGCAGCAAGTAGTGTCACAATGCTGCAAGCAGCTGTCTAGCTGACAGAAACTATCGAAATATCACAAATCTTCCAAGGGATTCGAAAATTGCTGGAAGGTCACATAACGAAAATCTACTACAGTATAACCTCCCTAAAGTAATATTCTATAAAGAAATAACCTCCTTAAACTCATAAAAAAAATTCTAGTCCTAGCTTGGGACTAGTTACGTATAGGAATAAACTCCACATTGTAATAAGTTATAACTTTTCTAGGTCCCAACTTAAGAAAACACACGTCCACATAATAATAACTGTCAATGAGTACAAATTATATGTAATATCACAAATAAAAGTTTAAGATAGAACTAAAATATTTCTCTAAAGTTGTTTGGGACAGTGCTTTTTAAGTTTTTTTAGTTGATATCACGTCTTTGAGCTTGCGGGTACGTAATATTTCGTCAAGATGGAACCTTCTTGTTGAAGCTAAAATGTTTCTAACTTCTCAATCATGTTTACAGCTTCGAAACTTTGGTATCCATAGTCATCCTCAAGAATCCTATTTAGTAAACACAACATTCATTAAGAACAAATAAGTCAATAAATAATATTTTTTAACTACACCTCTATTAAGTAATAACCTCCCCAAAGTTATAAAAATAGCTTGATCCCAACTTTATGACTTTATGTTTTACTGAACCTAAGTAGATCTACCTAAAACATGGTAGGACTCAGAAACCATGGTGAAGAACCTCACAACAGAGACTGACAAGTAGAGCTTTAGATGTTAAGGCATGGATCTTGGAATTAATTGAGGAAAGACAGTTTTAACAAATTTTAGAACCTAAACAGCTGGCATATACCACCACTAGAAGGCTCTTCTACTTTTTTGGATGACCTAATATCATGTGCAAAGCCAATATTGCAACCAGGTTGAAATTTCATTACTCAACGCAAATAGGATTGATAAATTAAGGTCATTCAAAATGTTGCACAATCAATCACTCTACTTTCTTTTCAATAAATGATTTCACGGTTCTCATCCATCTAATGAACTCAGTTTTATCTTTGTTCTTCATGTATTCGTGCAAGAAAATAGCAAAATCATTGTTCATACTCCTCGCTTCCAAGAATTCATAAAGTGAGTCTTGCAACTCATCATCAAGTTCCCTGTAAACGAACCACAAAAACAAATAAAAAGTAATATTTAGCAAGCAGAAGAAAATATTTTGAAACCCAAGTATAAGTCAGCTTTCAGACTCTATACTCTATAAATATAGAAAAAAATATACAAAAGGAAAAAGAACGACAACCACAAACAAAAACAAAAGATGGGAGAAAAGGGACAAGACACAAAAGAGTTCCACAAAATTTAGATGAATCCAAGAATTTGTCTCAACCTCTAACAGTTTTTTATGTTACTAATGTTCCTCAGATAGTAATATATAAATAGGAGATTAAATAGAATGTCATACTTGAACTCAGGACCCACATAAGGCTGAGCTGGCACCTTCTCAGGTTTTCGGATGGAAAGCTTGTTGATCTCTATACTATCTGGCCAAGCTGAACACATGATCTCCAACACATTGCCGCCTTCCTTCTTGAAGATATTAACACAAATTGTAATGTGAAGCTGCACATCTTTTCCAAGGCCAGCAACACCTTTGGAATTTGGAGCAGTAACAGATCCATCAAACATGGTGGCTTCAATCTTAATGTCCTCTTTCTCTCCAAAGTTTCTCTTCAAGCTTATCCATTGCTCACCAGGCTGGTTGTCAACTGTAAACAACTTGAATTTTGTAACTTGCTGAAAAGCAGAAGGAATCAGGAATTTTTTTCTAGAGATTATTTAAGAGAACTTAAATTCCTAATTCCAAAAACTAAGCACTGACCATAAACTTGTGATTGTCGAATCTACGTACGGTCCTTGGAGGGAAGGATATTTATATTCGGCCTCTTAACCCCATTATCTATTATCTCAGGAAGAAATAACAACATCTTGAATACAATCTATGATCTCACGTTGAGGATTGCAATTCACAATTAACGAAAACTTGTCATTATATTTTATTAGATTTTACCAGACACCAATTGAATTGACTCCCCCATGCAACTTTCAGTATCCGGAAACCTATTCGAAAGGAAAAGTTAACAGACTTTGGAATACATTTCATTTGTGTTTTTGGATTGTGCCATTTTCTTAACAAGTAACCATTTTTGCCCCAAAACATATGAATGCTTTTGAATTTGTCAGGTTGATAAAACTCCCCCATCACACACCACATAAACTAAATTTCCCAACAACCCAATTCTCGAAACAAACCCTAAGACCCATACACAATTCCAAAATTTTTTCTTTTGCCTCGGTTTCTCAGCAACCGAACAAATCCTAAAGACATTCCTTTCACAGGTAGGTACCTGAGTGGCAGGAGAGTGATCGAGCTTGTACTGGATTTCATTGCGGAGGAGTCTGAGAATGTTGCCTTCGAAGGCCGATTTGCGCATTTCGGAGATGTAAGTTCGTCGGCATTGCGGTGGTTGGAGCGAAGGGCTTATGAGAGAGACTTGTTTTTCATGTGCCAAATGCAAAGTGGGTGTTTACTGAATTAGAATTTTGGAAGATGAAGAAAAAGGAAAGGATTTTCGCAGGGATCGGATTGGGCGCGCCATGAAAGGAGAGTTTGGAATAGTTTGCAGTTTCAGAGGTTTTTAGGGTTTAAGGTAGGTCCTCATTTCAACCAGTTTTAGGGCTTACTGTCTTCGGTACGGCCGTTTTGTAAAAGTCCAGCCCAATTATTGTCATGTTCTAGACAGCGGTGATATTTTAGAGGAAGAATTGACTCCTTAAGGATTGAGGAGAAACTCCTTCTTAAGATATTTCCTAGCTTATGTATAGAATTTTGTATTTGTAATTAAAATTGTTCATATTATAAATTATTAAGTAAAAATCATTCCTACAAAAAATCAATTAAAATTTAGATCGTTTAATCATCGAATTATATAAAAAAATATGAAGAGATTTGTAAAAGCATTATAAACCGTCTATCTACTTAATAAAACTGATTAATCTTAGTTTTAGTTGATTTTTTGCATATATGATTTTTATAGAGTGATTATAATATTAAAGGTTCTTATCATAAGTAAAAAGTTCTGTGATAGGCTACGAAGTATTTGAGGGAACTTCACCTTAATCATAAAAAGTCTAGCTCTTTTCTATTTTTTATTTCTAATTGTTAAATTGAATAAATCAAACAGAAACTGTGACAATCCGTTCCAAATTTTACGTTTTTATTTTATTTTAAAAGCGTGAATTTATGAAATTGCCCTAGAGGCAAGGACTTTGACTTCCGTTGACCATCGACTTGAGAGATGTGGAACTTATTCTTTTAGCATATCCTCGTAGTACTCATTGGTACGAACGTATAGGCGAAAGCCGTTTGCGAGTTTGGATTATAACGGTATAGTTACGGACGTTCGAAATTGGTTATTCAAGGTTTAGTGTTTATTTAAATTAAATCCCCACAAACCCAATCAGAAATGGAAGGAGGAAAGAAAGAAAGAAAAAAAAAAAAAAAAAAAAGGTGGTTCCCGTCCACCCGCACCCACCGTGGGTCTATTTTCCGAGGCCGATTCCGGCCAACTCCGGTGGAGTTTTTCGATGCCACCACCACCATCTTGAAGCTCTCATTCCCCTCTACAAAACCCACCCAAGAACCACCTTGATTAACCATGGTATGAGGCAGTTTGAGGCCACGAAAGTTGACGAAAATCAATGGTGCTCCGGCCACCCTTTTCGATTTTCCGGCAAATCGGCAAAGCAATGGCCGATGCCACCACTTGGGCTTTGTAGCCCATCATCCTAGGAGCAAAACCCAACCAACCTTGACCCCGTTGGACCACCGTGGACGACGAATCGACGTCGGGAAGTTTTAGGCACCCGCCGGCTTCGTGGGCAAAATTGACCATCTTCCGTCCATTTTTGGACTTTGTGGCAGGGACCGATCATTCAGGATGCCTCGATGCGCGTGCTAGAGAAGTATAGCGTGGACTCCAGGTGAGTGGATCTTTTCCTTTTTATTGTGCATATTATTGAGAGTTCCATCGACACTTTTAAATTGATTAGGTACATTACCTTCGTATAATTATTGTGAATGCTTGAATTACCTATATGAACTACGAATGGCTTGATCCCTGTCTAGGGTACGTAGGCAGTCTAACGAGACGTTAGATGCAGCCATAAAATATTTGAGACAAAAGCCTTGCTTGGGAAATTGAGTAATGCGGAGGAAATTGGTAAAGGCAAGTTTTAGTTTATGAATTAGTTTGTTAAATTAGTGTTAATTGAGTTGTCATGGATAATTATCTCCGAAAATAAGTAGTTTGGGAGTAGGGCGTTACTGATTGTACACTTCACACCATATTGTTTATAATTGAAAATGCTACGACATGGTTCAGTATTAGATTGCATCATGGTATATCCATATGTATATTACTTGCATATAATTATTGAGAATGCTTTCAAGTGCAAAGGTGAACGCAGGACACCCAGGTAAGTTCAGGTGAGTTATGATATTAGTTGAATCGATTGCGTTATAGCATGACTATAGTTATGTGTTAGGCAACTTCGATATTGTCGTACTGGTTGCCATGAGTTGCATATGTTATATTGAGATGCATTGAGAGCTCATAAACCTGCACCCCTGTGTTAGTGCTCCCGCCCGTGGCCAGGGCACAGTCCTTCACGTGATGTTCACCTCCCGCACCTTATGCTCACCTTGGATCCAAGGTAGGTGCACAGTCCTGTCGTACAGACCACTTTAGGTGGTTCCGACTCATAGGTGACCCGCGATTATTCGCCCAGTCTTCACGTGATCGTAGCACTTGAGCGTATTTATTTACACCCAGTCCTGTCGTACAGACCACTTTAGATGGTTCCGACTCGTGTGCAGGTATACTTATTGAGCTATTGGCTAGCCATGATTGACGAGATGTGGATAAGTCGTGCCGGTCACTATAGGTGACTCCGACTTACATGCTAACCAGGATTGACGAGATATGGATAAGTCGTACAGGTCACTATAGGTGACTCCGACTTATATACTAACCATGATTGACGAGATACGGTTAAGTTGTACATGTCATTTTAGATGACTCTGATTGATGTATCACTTTGTATTGATTTATTTCATTTGGCCTACTTATTAATGTATGGTGGATTTGATGGCAAACCGTGGTTTTGGTCATTTCCGAGTATGGTTTGGATATATGTATATATGTTGTACTGTCTTATGGAAAACGATACGGGTTTTACATTTAGGGGCATTACTTTTAGAGAGGTAGTAACTTTGGGAAGCTTGGTTTTATTGATTACTCACACCTTCTGTTTGGTACCCTCTAGGTTTTAGCTGCTGAGTTTGTATCGACAAGAATCTGTGGCGAATCTTAGTATTGATGGATATTTTTGAGGGTATGATTCTTACTCACATTACTGTACCTTACTTATGCTCTGACATCGCGCGTGAAATGGGTTCGCTCCCACTCGTAGCGCACTCTGGTATTTAGACACTTTTGGAATCAAATTCATTCACTTTTTATACACTATCACATTTTATGGCTTCGTCACCTTCCAGGTGTCGACCAGCACAACTCGATTCAGGGTCCAAGTGGACTTTCTAGGTCGGGGTGTGTCAGTTTGGTATCAGAGCATATGTTGGGCAGTATTGTGTTCATCACACGCGTGATGTGAGCACTCTTGGTTTTTGTGTTTGACGTTCGAATGATGCCACCTCGTCGAATATGGAAAAATATGCTAACTTTTCTTAAGTTTTGGACAATTATGTTGTCTTCACGACATTTTATAAAATCATTTTGGCGGTTGTCCTTAGAATTAAAACGAAGATTTTCCTTGTGGAGGAAAGGTATAAAAGTGAGGCGAGTTGATGGCATAAGTAAATGTTTTGATAATTATGTATCGCCAGAGATATTACCAAATAATTCTATCATTGTCCTACCGCCGTTAGTCTTGATTTCTTAGTAACATTTCGCGGAAGATCATCTGAGGGATAATTATTGTTCGGTCCCTATTAGCACTAATATCTTCAAGCATACTTGGGTTCATGTTGGATCTTTAGGAGGAAGATCGACTGTCGATGAAGTCTTTTTGAAAGTAGATCTTAGGCAAGGTCTTTTTCTAGCATTGGGATTTTTCAATCAACACTATTCCAAATTTTTGCTTTCGTAGTTGTACTTATTAAATGGGTGAGAATAGGCTTGCGAATGTAAGTTGTCATATCCTGGGAGTTGTAGAAATCCGAAAAGCAATCATTAAATCCTCCTAGGATCAATGAACTACTTCGCTTGAGCCAAATAAATTAGGATCGTGGAAGCTTAGGAATAAGCTTTGCAATAGGACGGTAAACTCATGATTGTTGTTTTCACCCTATCACTTATCTAGGTAAACGAAAATCCTTTGACTAACCACCTCTCGATCACTTCCATAGGTAGACATTAGAATCGAAATGCAGGATGGTATCTCACTGTTAGATTGTTATGAGTGTCGAGGAAAATTGTGAAGACCTTTTAGTTCGTGTCGTAGAGTTGGTTAGTAGTACTGTAAATTTGAGGACGTATACTTTTGGCGTCATATCTCAAAAATCTTACCGCGGATACCACCACATTGTTAAGTTGGTATGGCAACATGACAGAGTATTGCTTTTATTTTCACGATTAGAACCGTTTGAAACGAACCATCTTATTCATTGACCTAAAGTCAACAGTCATCACCTTATTTCAAAGGCTAGATGACACTTCTCGGTGGAGATTTTGATGATGCATAGTGATTGTCGATTGATGTGACAAGTCAATTCGGATTCAGACTTTCTTAGTAGGTTAACGCTTATGTTTCTCGGTGGTAGAACCGCTAAAGATGAACCATCATACTTATGACCTAGAATTAACAATTTCTAATTTTATTGGAATATTGATTGGGACTTTTATGTAGAAAAATGTGTCCAAATCTTCATTGATATTCGAACTTTTTATTACATTTACTTTTTGGAACAAGCTAAGTTTTGTCAGAGGCAATAGTAGAATTAAATTGGCATCTATGAGTGCACTATTGTGTATCTACTCTCGCACACTTCCAGCCTGTCCTTTTTTTATTTAATTGGGAAGTATGAGTATCGATATAGAGTTACCTTTAATCTACCAAGAAATGGTTCAAATGATTTTAATCATTTTGTATGAATGGAGTTAGGAAGTATCTTTTTATATGCGCAGTTCGAGATATGTGGTATATGTAAAGAATGTGAAATTCATTAATCGTGATGCTAAACCAATGATACGCTTATATGATGTTCCAATTGGTGGTTGTTTACTTAAGTATAAAACAATATTCTTCTTGCTCTAAAAATTGAAGTATTGACAATAGTTGTTTCCTAAAAATGGGTGTTGAAATTTCAACAACAAGACACTTGTGAAGACCACTAAGATAGAAGTGGGATGTAGTCAACCTCTTCGGGTGATGTGATTTAGAAGTTCTCTTTGTGACGTGATCAAAAGTGGAAGTAGGGAAGAGATAAAAATCGAGGCTTCCTTTGATGTGTTTTAAAGGAATCCTCACTCTAGATGGACCTTGCTTTTGATTAATGTTGTGGGGATATTGAGGATATAGAGTTCAAACTTCCTTGGGCAACTACAATTTTCTAATTGCGTCCAGAGGACGATGACTTTTTGAGAAAACTATTCCTAGACTTCTATACA